ATTAAACTAGTCACTTTCACTTCAATTATGTTCAATAATTGTTAAAATGACTAAAAATTGAATATTAAACTTTAAAATTATTGAATAGTATAAACTTCTTGATATTTACAAAAATAATGAAATTTAAGCCCTAGAACCGATTAATGTATTGGCGGACTGATACTAAAGCTGGTTGCCCGGTCAGTGCGAAACATGTTGAGGTTGGTTAAATAAGTTAAGTTAGCGAAATTTTTTAGATTAATTGAAGATCCTTATGGAGCAGTTAGTTAATCAAATTACGTTAACAATTCATTTAAAGCGAGTCTCTGTATATATATATATATATATATATATATATATATATATATATATATATAATATATATATATATATATATATATATATATATATATATATATATATATATATATATATATATATATATATATATATATATATATATATATATATATATATATATATATATATATATATATATATATATATATATATATATATAATCAGAAACAAATCAAATGTATTAAAATGTGTCTACAATCAAGTCAACTCCATGCTTTGTTACTGAAATATAACAAAGCATGCACTTTCTCTTGTTTCTGATTATTTGAGAATTCTACCATATTATTTATTTGTATGTTTTGTGTGTGTGTCTTCAAACATACACATATACAATACAGGTAAAAAAATTACTCTCAGGAACGGATGGTTCTCGGGTCCCAGCCACGAAAAATGACAATAGCTTAAAAAATACCCCTCTTGGGTACATCCAGGGTATCATCAGTGAATAATTGAGGTCTGTTGAAATAATTCTTATAGTATACAGGTTGACAACCCTTTATCCAAAGTTCCGAAAACCGAAAAAAAAAATTTGTGGAGCTTTTTTTTTTTTATGGGTATTAGCCCACCCGGGCACATGTCACTGACCCACATCGGGGCCTGGGGGGCGAAAATGTAATGGTAATAATAATTATAATAATACAGGTAATAATAATAATGATAATACAGTAATAATAATAATTATTCATAGTAAATACAATTTTTAATAAAAAATACACAAAAATAAAATAAGAATGATAACAATAATAATAATAATAATAACAATAATACTGTAATAATGAAATAATAACAATAATAAAGAAATACAAGAATGAAAAAAAATGATCAAAGTGAGAAACATGACCTAGACCTATGAATTATTATTATTATTATTATTATATTTTAACCCCCAGGTCTCTGATGTGGGTCAGTGACCTGTGCCCGGTGGGCTAATACACCGTAAAAAAAAAAAACGGTTTTCAGAGCTTTTCGGGTTTCGGGAATTTCTTTGATAAAGGGTTGTCAACTTGCACCCGGGTATTTCAACAGACCTCAATTATTCACTGATGATAATTCTGATGTACCCAAGAATGTCTTAGGTATTTTTAAGCTATTGTCACCTGTGCCCGGGTGGTCTGAACCCCAAAAAAAAAAAAAAAAAAAAAAATTCTGAAATCCGAAAAATTCCGAAAACCAAAATGCATTTGGTCCCAAGGATTTCGGATAAGGGATTGTGAACCTGTATAACCTTCTCCCCACCTAGTTATTATATACCATATTTTTATCACTTATTTTACTGTATACAGTATATTATTTGTCAATCAAGAGACCCATTCCCCAATTATATAACTGTACATTTTCAACCTCCCGGCTCCCATGCTCTTTCAATAAACTGCTAATTATTATTATTATTATTACACACCTTAGCTCTTCATTGTTCTTATTTTATAGTTTTATATTTTCTTTGCTTCTAAGCTACATAGAGTGTTTGAATTTTACTCTTTTGCTCTGTAATAGAAAATGGTTTTACTAGGATTATAATATCCTTAGTGTTGTAAGTTATGTGTTTATTTACATACTCAGACTTGAATTATATGTAAAGAAAACAATTATTTTTGTTAAAATTTTCTTTATTTTGTATAAGTGACCAAATTACAGTAGAACACACAAGTGCCACACCGTTGACTGTTTATGTAGCGTTCCCCTCCATCGCATACTATTCCCCTGCGTTACCTACCATTCCCGTGAGTTACCTACCATGCCTCTCGCCTGCTGCAATGCTTCATTCTTCGCCTGCAGTGCTGGCAAGTGTTTACTTTTTGAAAATTAGTAATTAAATGCACAGGAGGTCCTCGTTATTAGAGCATTCACTATCCGTAGGTTTGCAGTTAAGTAGTCAACTTTTAGTGACCATCCACTTAAAAAGTTCCAACATTTAAGTGGATTTCACTCAAAAGCTCCTGATAAAATCTAGGGAATTTTAGCTGAAGCGTTTGAAATTTCATCCTCCTACTGGCATCATGCATGCACACGTGTCTCGCGCCATTCTCCCGCTTTGTTTCATCCAGATCAGTAAGGTGTTGTGTTTACTCCTGCCTTTGTCGTGTCTTTTCGTGCATGTTGTGGTGAATTATTGTATCATATCTGTCGCCATGAGTTTGCAACCCAAACAGGGTGGTGCAGCACTCAAAAGGAAGCACACTTCAGTAGCTATAGTATAGATGTAAAATTAGAAATGATTAGGCAAAAGAAGAATGGGAGTGGACAATCAACCTTGTCCTGTATCTCTCTCATCCTCCAACTAATCCCCCTCTCTCAATACCCACCTCCATCAATCCCATCAAGCCAAACATCTCTACCTTTGAAGTATTTTGTCTCAATGAACCGCTGGGGTGAGTGTGCACCAGCTGGCACAACCTAAGTTGCTTCAACACACCGACCCCAATGAATTTTAAGGACATTAAATAACTTATGAAGTTAAATTTCTTAAAATGAAGAGTTATCAAATGTTTAACAAATGTATCTAAGGCAAATAATTGTTAAAATATATCACATAAAACTTTTGTGAGCGCTGTGAACAATGTCAAGGTCCTAATTTGACCTGTTTCCAATACAATGTGTTCAGGTAATCCACCTCCTCAAAAACATGTAAGTTTCCTTAATACAAAAATGTGAAGGATTCTGGAAGCTGGAGATGATTAAATGAGGATTCTTCCCTTGGATTTAGGAAATATCAAATTGATATTGGCTACTGATGAATTTTTATAGTGACTCACAATACAAAAAAAAAGCAGTGAAAAACATTACATTCTAAGAAAAAAATATATGCAAAAAGAACCTGGGTGTGTATGTTGACAATGAACTGAAGTTCTCGGGCCATTGTGAGAAGAAGGTGAAACAAGAAACTATGTTATATTATTAGGTCGTATAAGAAGGTCGTTCAGATATCTACATGGTCTGTCCCTTGTTATGATCTTCAAGAGTGAGGTGCTTCCCCGCTTGGAGTTCTGTCACCTCGTCTGGTCCCCGCAATATACTAGGGACCGTCAGTTGATTGAAAATGTCCAAAGGAGAGCCACCAGACTGGTGCCTGCACTATGGCACCTCAGCTACCCAGAGAGAATACAGCGCCGGCAAGTGCCTAGCTGATACAGTATTTTCTCGATTTAACAAACAAATTCGATCCACCCCTTAACCCTCAGGTTAGGGTGATGCTGGCAGTACCCCCCACACGGGACTAAATCGAAAAAAAAATCAACATTTCCAAAATTAATTAAAAAAAAAAAAATGGCGGGAAAATAGGCGGACGTTCTGGAACGTCACCCGGGGCCAAGGGTTAACGCTAAATTGAAATTTCAGCTAAATTGATTCCGTTATTTTCACTCAATTTAGAAAACTAGTTCACTAAATCGAGCGTGATTATGATAAATTCCACACCAAATGTTCCGCTTGGGGTTTGTTTTCATCCGCCCAGTCTGTGTCCTTGCTGCCACCATGTGTTGTTCACTGCTACCTCTCAGTCAACTAACTACTGTGCTTAGATATCATGCTGAAAATCTCTCAGAAGTGGCAGAAAGGAAGTGGTGTGGAGGAGAAAGTAAAAAGAGTGCAGCTATATATTGGTAAAAAGTTTGGGAATTATAGATAAAATTTAGAACAAACACCAAACCCCCTAGTTCAAGGTAAGCCATGAATAATGTTTCTATGTACATATCATGTGTCTGAGGTGTCTCCGTAGGTGAGAGCTTATGAACGGAATTAATCTCGATTTAGCAAACTATTCACTAAATCGAGTGAAAAATAACGGAAAAAATTCCTTCCGCTAAATCAAGAGTTCATTATATTGGATTCCGTTAAATCGAGAGTAGGACCTAACTGAGGTGTATAAACATCTGAAAGGGGACTACTCAGTCGAGTTCGATACCTGGAGCTGGCAAACGCTCGCCCTACAAGGGGTCACAGCTCAAGGTTAAAGAAGCTGCAAGTCCAGAAAAACTGTGAGGGTTAACTTTTTAGGAGTGAGAGTTGTGAACTCGTGGAACAACCTGCCAGAGTGTGTTGTGACGACACCGAGCGTGAGCTCTTTCAAGACTAGACTTGACCAGCACAGGAGCAGGTTCAGATACATTAAGGAGCCAGTGCATGCCCAGTATTTGCCAACAGAGACGTGACCGAGCGCCCAAGCGGCTAACGAGCCGATCAATGGTGAAGAGGATAAAAAATACAAAAAAATATCAAAACAAACATTTGTGTCTACAAGGTACACTGAAAACTGCATTTAAGTGGTGGGCAGTAATCACAGAGTAAAAATTGGGGCTCTCTGTACTTGATATTTGTTGTGCCTGTCAAAAGTATATAAAATAAAGGTTAGCACACAAAAGTTCAGTCATGAATAGGAACTAATATTTGAAATTGAATTTGATTTTGAGAAGAAATCTTGTTCGCACTTGAGCAGGATCATAAACTATGTATTCGTTGTACATGAGTGTATAGCCCCTGGAATTTTTTATTTCTGTTTGTTCACCGGGTCCCATGGGGACCAATGTTCCATCAGACCTGTTGAGAGAGAGAAAAACAATATGTATATATATATATACACTGTATTTTTTTACAAAAATAAACATCAATGAGCTACATTAATACATACTGTATATACTGGAGGTCCCCAGGTTACTGTACAGTATTCAGTAAGTGTTGTTCATTTCATCAGATATTTTATATATACAGCCACTCCTTGACTTACGACTGGGTTAGGGACCCAAATCCAGGTCGTACAGTAAGTCGAATTGGTCGTAAGTCGAAAATGCAAAGATAATACATAGAAAATCTAAAATGAGTGTCTCTTTTTCTTCTCAGCACCACAAAACTCTCACTTTTAAGCATGCCAGCCATTTTAGAGGGAATTACAAACGAAAATTTTGTCAGTACACAGCGCAATCACTAACGTCGGGACTCGAAAATATGTAATTTGAAAATTTTTTGGTACGACGTATGTCCGGGTGGTCGTAAGTCGAGGAGTGGCTGAGTGCAGTAATATCTCCGTTAGCTGGAATCCCTCAAACCCGGAAATCTCCAATAGGCGGAATTGAAATTTGCTCAGAAAATCATTCCCAAAACTGGAATTTTTCAAAAAATTCCGGCTTTAGAGGCAAATTTCCCGAAGTATTTTTTTGGGGGGGGGGGGCCTGACTTGACTCAGTGTCAGGTGGAGGTAGGGTGGGGGATTAGTGGTCTCATATTACTGACCATCTGATGGAATGTCAGGTCACCCTTTCTTGGTTGGGGGATTAGTGGGTCTCATGACCTGAAGATGTCTTGAATAAACACGAAACCTAAAGTATTTTTAGGGAGATTGTGGTAAGTATAATTATAAACAGGGCTGTGGAGTCGGAGTCGGAGTCGAGGAGTCGGAGGAAATTTCGGCTTGTGGAGTCGGAGTCGGAGTCGGTAAAATTGTCCAGACTCCGACTCCGACTGAAGCTATTCTGTTCCTAAGAACAAATATATGAACTCAGGCATATTCATTGCAGTGATTCCACTGATCCCACTAATTTTCTTAAATTATTAAAAGAATTTATTTCCATTTTATAAGCATTATTATGAATTTATTGTAGCAGGCACAGTATAGCACTATAATTTTGGACGATAGTCTCTTCTTTACCATTTGAAATTTTGAATTATATCAAATTTTGTTTCGTTGAAAACTGCACAGAGGCTCTCAGCTACAAAACAATTAGCTACAACCTGTTTTTGGTGAGATTAAGGCAAATTTAATTTAATAACTTAATCATGTAAGGTTTATCCATTTTCCTTAATAAGGTATTCATTTCTTTAATGTACATAAATATATAACTTTACTTTAAAAGGAATTGTAGGATCATCATTTAGATCCACATCAGATTATGAGCTTAAACAAATTCATATGCTGAGATCGAACTTTTAGATATACATGTAAATGGTGTTTTCTAGTTAATATCTTGAATTATTAATAAATTTATTTTTCTTTTGATTGAAACTTTGAAAGTCAAGCCTATCATCTTTTTGTAGTTCTTAAATATCGTCCAGATCATTAATAAAGCTGTAGCAGTATAGCCACGGTGTTTTACTTTTTACCTATGCAGGTTACAACATACAAATTACAATTAGGATGGTAGAAATAGTTGTTACAAATAGGCCAAGGAGTCGGAGTCGGAAGCATAAAAATTTGAGGAGTCGGAGTCGAAGGTTTTGTCTTCGACTCCACAGCCCTGATTATAAATGAGCAAAGTTGTATCTCTTCAACATTACATTACACAACATTTTAAAATATGAATTGAGAAAGGTGTGGGTGATTAGAAAGATGGAGTGGAAAGGAGTGGTAACATGCACCAGTGTTGCCAAGCCCTAAGCTCCTCAAGAGCTGATCTTTTAATTCACCAACACATAGTTAACCATACATAAATTTATGTCATCCAAAAAAAGGGGTGTGTGGGAGAGATGTTGTGGTATTAAGTAATAAATAAGCAATACGTATTGTATCGTCAATGACAGTCGTTTGATGAATAGCAGCGTGCAGTACTACAATTGTCACTACTATTCACCAAACTACTGTACTGTCATTAGCAATACAATATTGTTTATTTATTATTAACTAATACCCCAACACCACATCATACACACACACAACATCTAGTTTATAGTCTTTTGTGTAAGACACTGAGTTGGAGGAAGGTAGGGAGTAGGCAAGGGGGAGGCAGGGAGGCAAGGTGGAGTAAGGGGAAGGCAAGGAGGCTGGCACTCCCCCTTTTCACCAATGATCAGCCTCTTAATGTGTATGTTTCATCAAGGTTAATATAAAATTTTAAACACATTAAGCACAAATTATTACAGTAAACATATCTATATTAATTAAAAAATAAAAAACAAAGTAAAACATTTTACAATAGGAATGGCAGACATGGGAGGAGTAGGGGAGAGGCAGGACCTTTTTGGGGGGTGTGCGGTCAGTTCCCTCCCTCCCCAAACCTCCAATACATGAGGACCCTGGAACATGAAGCAATATTTCGTTTTTTTTTTTATACATGTAATAGCACAGTTTATAGAAGGAACAATAATCATTCCCTAGACTGGGAAAACAGTTTAGAAGTGTATAAATCATCATGTGTCACAGAAAGACTTCAAGTTGAAGCTAGTTTGATTAGGGAATTAAATTCTATAAACCTTAGTGATGGTCAGTACAAAACTGATAATATGTTACACAAATTTATTTGTCAGTGGCCCAAGGTTAAAAATGCTTTGAAAGTATTCGAGGTAGATGTAGGATAAATGATTAGTGGGTCTCATATTTTTTTACCTGACTTAACATGACTAGTTACGTCGCCCATTCTTATAAGTTCCTCTTATGTTTGCGATGGTGGTGGTGGTATGTAGATTAGTGGATGTCATGTGTTTGACCTGACCTCATGTTTTGTAAGGTCACCCTGTGTACATAAGCCTCTCTCTCAGTCTCAGTCCTTGTAATTCAGTTGCCTCTGAAGATGTCTTGAATAAAGACAAAAGCTAAGGTGCTCGCTCCATTGTTTCCCTTTTTCCTGTGTGATTTTACCAAGATGTTATAGAACAGTATTTAATATAATATATTATCAATGATAAAACATACACCACAAGTGGCTGATCATATGAGAATATATAATATAATAAAAGTTGGAGGGTGTGTGTTGGAGGTGTGTGAACATTGGTCCCTCGGTTAACGAATGGTTCGGTTGACGAAATTTTGGTAAACGAATTACCTTCCATAAGAATCTTTAATTCGGTTAACGAACAAAAATTTGATTAACGAAATCCTTACGAACATCACGTTTTGTTGTGAGCATCAGCTGATGGGCTAGTCTGCCAATTCAGTAATTCAGTACGTAATCTGTTCTACGTTTACATTCATTTCCAGTGGAGTATATATCAAGAAATTGTGCTCTTTAATATTTGTCCAAAATGAATACTAAAATTTCAGTCTAGTGCAAACTATTGCATGTTTACATTCAAATTAATCACTATCTTATAAGAATTCCAGCAATGTAAATTATATTCTCCCCGGTCATTTCTATGAAATTTTATAAGCAAAAAACAATAACTCAATCTAAACGACATAAATAAACAAATAAATTCTTCACTAGACCTTCAGTGCTAACTGTCAAACATGTCACTGTCAGCCCTCCCTCCCTACCCCCCTCCCCCAGCAAAGGTTTGGTAGTTATACAGTAGGCTTTAAGTTTTTATCTTATATAATATCACAGACTAAAGTTAGGAGAATATAATTTGTATTGCTGGAATCCTTGCAAGACAGTGAATAATTTGAATATAAACTTCATATATTTTGCACAAGAGATAAAAAGTGTAGTACATTAGTGGACAGTAAGTACAGTATTACATTTTATAATGTAAAGTTTTTCAACTGTATTTTTTGGGTAGATTTACATAAATTCCTTAATTTATTTTCAATCATTTACATGCACACACCATACTAAAAGAAACGTAAAAGAAATAAATAACCTAAGTAGTGTATATGTACTAAATTGAGTATGGCACTAAAATTGTTTTGTCTATTGCAAATTATAGCTTGTTTATATTCAAATTAATCACTATCTTATAAGAATTCCAGCAATGTAAATTATATTCTCCACGGTCACTTCTGTGAAATTTTATAAGCAAAAAACAAAAATTCAACTAAACGAAATAAATAAACAAATAAATACTTCACTAAGCCTTCAGCGCTAAATCATATCACCTCACCTCCCGCTCCCCACGTTCCCTCCCTCCCTCTCCCCATCTGCCCAGCCTGGGTTTTAGGCTTACAGTTTATATCTTATATAATATCTCAGACTAAAGTTAAGGAGAATATAATTTGCATTAGACATACAAATTTTAGATATAATGTTTACTCTGAGTAAATATGTTATCTTTTGTGCAAAATATATGACATTTACTGTATATTCAAAATATTCCTGGTCTTACAAGGAATCCAGCAATGTCAATTATATTATCCTAACTTTAATTTGAGGTATTATTTATTAAAATCTAGTGGTTTTCCCCCAAAAATTTCTCAGAGAGGGAAGAGCCAGCAGTGTAGTGTGAGAAGAGGGGGAGGGAGTCGAGTCCATTATTTGAATGGACATTAACTTGGCGACTGTATTTCTCTATTTCTCTTAAGTATTAATTGTGTGCATGTACCATCATAAAATTAAGATGTTATTTTTACTAGAACATAGTTGTGTGTCGTCAAAATGTGGAGTTTGGGGGTCAGGCCAGTCTCTATTGGAATTAATCCCATATGTTCTGTTGTTCACTTAACGCGGTACCCTGTGGGTTCAATTGACCTTTAACGTGGGGTACAACTGTGTGTGTGTGTGAACCCCATTACGCGGAGAGTGTCCGGCGCGACGCTATTTTTAGATTCGCCCCACCCGCCTGCCTGCCTGTGCTCTCGCCTCTCCCTCCTCCTCCCTCCACCTGGGCAAGCCGCGCGGTAAGGTTGCGCAGTGTGTGTCTTTTTCGCGTTATCACTGACGTCATATGACGTATCG